CTCATCTATATTCTTTTATATCACCCCTTAATGAAGAAAAATTTTTTCAAAAATATATAACTCCCTTTAATAAAAATCAGAGATACGAAATTCCAACCCACTATGTGGAAGAATTCAAAGACAGAAATACCTCCTATGAAACTTCGTCTTTTGGATATGGATGAAGTCACAAAACATGAATCATCCCGAAATATTGGCCATTCGGCGATAACATGGCCTTTTAGCATGTTAATTACTGGGAGAAGTGGTACAGGTAAGACTAATTTACTTGCGAATCTTGTTCTTGGTGATAAGGATGAATATGTGCAAAAAGGGAAAAAGGGTGGGTCTCGCTACATTAAATATGATGATCTAATTATTTGCGGGTATCATCCCTATAAGCCAAAATGGGCATATATGAGATATATATATAATCTAATTTCAAAAGACCCAAGAGCACCTTACTATGAGGATATTAGTTTCAATTACATTCCTCCCGAAAAAATTCCTAGTACAAGAACTTTCTTACCTGAAAGAAGCAAGTTAATTATTATTGAGGATCTATGTTTAGCTCCAGAGCATATACAAAATCGAATTGGTCAGTTTTTTGGGAATGGACTCACCGAAATATTTTATGTATATATGTAATACAAAAATATCATAAAGTGATACATTCATTCGTGAAAACTCAACTCATTTAATATTATTTAACTCTGGTAGCAGTATTCAAGATGTATCTAAGATTGTTGAACGATATACTGATGATGTAAAGGGCACATCCATGGTTATTAATAGCTACCTCCGCAAAGGTGAGTTTGTTGTATTTAATCTCACTAGGTCAGAGGATGATCCTCTAACAATTCGGCTAAAATTTGACACACCGTTGAATCTGCAGAAAGAAATAGAGGCAAGGCAGAAGCGGAAGGAAAAAAATGCCTCAGCTAATTCATAAAACTTTTTACTGTGCTCTCACAAGCTCAGAGATATAGAAATTGATTACCTTTGACAAATCTATAACTGATAGTAGTTTGCATGCGATGTGTTCTCCAAAAAGGCATCCAAGTAGATAGACTCAATTAAATATATTTATTCATTATATACTGCAGTCCGTTCACCGTTTTCCTAGTGCTATTCTTGAGATCACAATTGGGAAATAAAATTTATACATTAATATTTACTTGCAATATATGCAAGAAAGTGTTGATATGAAATAAAAATC